AATGGAATTCCTGGTTTTGGGAGTGGGAGTGGAAGTGCTTCACAACCTGCTAGACCCCCTGCTCCAGTAGCGACCAGGCCTCCTAGGCCAGTCGTGACCCGACCACCAGTCACTCGTCCCCCTCTTATAGTTTCTCCTCCACAAACCACGACCGATAGCGGAGAGGATGGGGACAGCGAAGACTATGACTACACTGACTTCTCTACAACCGTCAGATCTAGACCTATACAGTCCTTTACTGGCCACCGTCCAATGCCCATCACAAACCCACTTGCAAATAATATCAAACCAGTTTTTGAAAGACCAGAAAGATATTTTAATCGCTATGTAGTTAGACCAATAAACAGGACACTAAGAGAATTCTATAGTCTGTTCTAGAGCATAGGAAGTGTGAGACCGTATAGAATGTAAAAGTGCTATATTCCCATATCCTAAATCAACACGATTTCAACATCAACATGATTGAAAAGTTTTCAAATTTCAACAAAGTCATTGTTGGAAAGTTTTTGGTTGTTTATATCAAATCAAACTAAATTTTTTTAAATTTAATTACAACCAAATGTTATCCACCAATCCTACACATTAAAAATGAGGAACATAATTCTAAAATGAGAAGATATTTTACTGAATATTAAACCACAATTATTATACTTAAAATTTTAAAAATGTTAGAAAAAACACAAACATAATTTAAATGAGATATTTTATAAAATGAATACTAAATTGTTATTTCAAAATCTTGTCCATTTAAATATGAAATAGTACTAGAACAATCTACATTAATGAAGATCATATATTTGAAATAACTTCAATTTTTCACTAAATATTGTTCCTACTGCAAACCATTTGCCAATTATGAGCTAAGCAATCTAGATGGAGAATTGCTTTTTTTTTTTTTTTTAAATATGCATTCTCACAAAATATTTTATTTTATAGAAACAAAGGGAATGAATCTCAAATGAAAAATATATAAGATGGTGAGCATTAAGAAAATGTATCTGGTCTCATAAGAATGAAAATAAATATTTATAAACTATGATTTTGATGATGTCTAATGCTTCCAGTTCCTAAGGGGAAGAAGTATAATAGGATATAGATTAGCAATATATCACAGAACATTATCCTAGGAACTACTTTCAAAGAACTCATAAAGAAATAGCAACTTATGTTGGAAAACATTTATTATCAACAACCCAAAATAAATGGCTCACTTTGGGAAGAAAATATTAGAAAACATTCTTGGTCTGGTTAAATTAGCGTGCCACCCAAGTAAAAATGCTGAATCGCATAAGAAATAGCTGCCTTTGAGCCCATTAAAGGCTTCCAATAACTCCATACCTTACCCACCATTGTGCTGATAAGCTTTTACAAATATGTGAGACAGGCACAGAACACATTACATATACGATTCTCTGTGGTAGTCCAAGTATTGCCTCAACTCATGATGAAGAAATCAACTTTTTTTTTTTAATATAATCTTGTATAATACATTAGCCACCCCTCAATACAGTCATAAGCCTTGAAACAGTAGCTGGTAACTACAACTAATGATTTTAGTGAATAAAAAGGGGTGCAAATCCAAATTTGAAATATTTTAAGATTGATTTGGGCAGCACCAAACAAAAGAGAATTTCTTAAGAAGCATTCCCAACATTTAATATATATATATATATATATATATATATATATATATATATATATATATATATATATATATATATATATATATATATATATATATATATATATATATATATAATTTCTTTACACATAATATTGCAAATGATTGCAATAATATTGCAAATGATATATATATATATATATATATATATATATATATATATATAATTTCTTTACACATAATATTGCAAATGATTTGTAAAAAAAGAATAAATTATCTTCTTTCTTTTTTTGTTTTGTTATCTTCAATTTAATACATACTAAGACTGATGTAATAAAAAATCGGAAAGAGTAACCTATGTTATATTTGTACAACTCATGTATTAGCAGATGAAATTATTTAATTAAATTATTATTTTATGTCTAAGACGATATAGGTATTAATATATGTTTTGATTAAATATTGAATAAATTAAGATTTTATAAAACGGAAAATATTGACCACAGTTACAAGATGACAGTAAAAAAAGGCTGACAAAACTTATTAGTAAAATGGCACAGAAGAGGTACTCCTAATGGTATAATTACTTTTATTATTTCAAATTAATTATAATTTATATTTCTTTATGTAATTTTAATGCTTAATCAAAAGTTGACTCTTGTAGGATTATATTTAATATTTATCAGTTTTGAATTTATTTTTTTACTTAACTCTTAATTACTTATATATACTCTTTCCTCTCATTGATAAATTATTCATTTAAAATGTTATGATGATTTCAAAGAACAAACAGAATTCATTTTTCTTTCATTAGTTTTTTACAATACCATCTACTGAAAATTTTCTCTAGGACTCCACGAAACCTGTTATAAGACTTTCTAATATTTTAGAATGATGATGAAGGCATGTATTAGATATAAAATGTGCATATTATGTAATATGCATATAATAAGTATAATATTATGTATGCCATGTGTAAATACTAAGTATTATATAATAATAAGTATACAAATATTTGTTTTAATATTAAGTGATAAATTATAAAATATATGTAAGATATGCTAGTCCAGAATTTAACTAATTGCTATGATTTTATTTTAAATATACTGATTTTAAAGTATAAAAAACAATGTATATTTATCTTCCTTAACAAGAAATCATTAAGAATTAATGATACGATAGAATCTCTATATATTTATATTAGTGTCACCTTGATAAACAATTTTATACATCAAGATTTAAATAAAAGAAAATCAATAATACACAAAAAGAGTTTAAGTTGAACTTATTAGTGACCAAAAATATTTGAGCTCTTTTCTACAATTATTGGGTTGGCAAAAAAGTCCTTTCGGTTATTCTGTTTATTTTTATGTCACTATGATACACTTCTTATCTGATGAATTAATCCATAAGGTGGATTGTTTATCCTGTTTGTAATATGTCAACAACTATATCCGTCAACTCTTGTTGAAACTAGCTAAGTATTGTGTTAGCTATTGCACTATGAATATGAAAGAAAATATCATTTATTATAGGCATATTTCATTGTATTATTTAAAAAAAGGTAAGTGTGCTGCAGAAGCTCATAGAAAAATTAGCATAGTTTATGAGGATTATGTCTTAACCGAACGCAACTATCAGAATTGGTTTGCTAAATTTCATTCAAGAATTTTTGACATCAATGATGCTCAACGGTCTGGTCACCCACATGAAATTGAAACGAGCAATGTTAAGGACATTGTTGATCAAAATCCACCCAATCAGTGCGAGATATTGCTGGGGCCCTAAATATAAATAAAATGTACATAAACCTAGAAAACCATTTGCACAAGCTCGGCTATAGTTCCGTACTTAATGTTAGGGTCCTTCATTCTCTAACCAAAGTCAACTTGGAACGGCAACAAAACGACCCATTTTTGAAAAGGTTGGTAAGAGGAGATGAAAAAATGGATATTTTACAATAATGTAGTCCGTAGAAAATCCTGGATACCTAGTAGTAAGGCTCCTAGAATAATGTCAAAATCCAGATTGCATCCAAAGAAGATAATGCTTTCCATATGGTAGGACTTTTAATAACAAACTCCAGACATTCTATGAACATGGCATTATGCAGTTAGTGGAAAGATGGGGAAAAGTTATATTAAATGACGGTAATACATTGTATATTAAAATAAATTTTATGTCTATAATACAGTGAGCTTTATTTCACCCTAAAAAACCGAAAGGACTTATTTTTCAATCCAATATATTTTCTGAATTGTTGATTTTATGTATATAATAATTGAAAATCATCGACGAATAAAATATATAAATTCATTTTTGTTCAAGATATATACAAATATGAAATCCAATGAGTAAGAATAAAAAAAAAAAAACAGAATACATAGCTATTATATTTTTTTGAAAAGAGAAAAAGAAAAAAAACTCCAATCATCTTCCTGTGGAAATACTGGCAAAGTTTAATCAAAGGATAATCCAATTTTATACAGAGAGATAAATATTTAAATATTTTTATAACAATTAAAAATAAATCTCAACACTTTTGCAACGATTGGAATGACTATTATTATATTCATCTGTTTTAAATTTCATTGTTTTTTCTTGGTTGTGTAATTAAAACTGTGTCAAGATCTTTAGCGATTTGAGGAAATCTACAGCATTAAAATCATGTAAACACAAAAATACTTATAAAATTAATGAGATTATTTTGATATTCTTTACTTATACAACTATTAATTGATTTTTAGCTTAAGAATATTTTAATGAATATATTATAATTAATTATGATAAGGTACGATATGGTTTATTTTGTGTAAAAGAATTAGTTTTTTAACTACGGTTAATAAAAATAAACATTATTACATGTCTACTAAAGTTGGTGTGAAAACAAATAAAACTCATCGATACTAATAAAACAAAATTTATCTCTAGTTGACTAATCAAGACTATTCCGTAATTATATAGATTAGTATTGTTAAGAATGTTCCCTCCCATTTACTTATTTTAATTAGCAGTCTCTTATTGACTTCTATGAACAGAAGAAATTATATATAAAATAGACATTACCTGTTTGTAGCCCCGATAATAAATGTTAGAATTCGAATATTCCAAGATTAATATAAAAAAAAATTGTAATTTCAAAAAGCAATATCACTACACCATTTTGTTTAAAACATTCATTTATACATAGTGTAAAAGTCATCTTATACAACCTAGAGGGTAGACTTTTACTTTAACTATCAAGATAAGGCGTTGTCCAAGTCGACCAAATTATTTTTACCAAATACTAACCAGATGGATTATTACCTTCAACAGAGACAAAATTTTAGCTGATGAATTAAAGATTCATAAAATTCAAAGATGACTCTAGTATAATAAATCACAGTTTATAATTATTAAAATTTAATGTGCACTCTCATAATACTTTCTGAACATATCCTTTAGCCCTTCGACATCTTTTTTAGAACCAAAAAAGACAGGAATTGTTTCGTGCAGGGTTTGAGGAAACATCTCAAGTACATTCTGTAGACCGTTTCCACCGTAACATTCTCCACCACATTCTTTCATCAAAAATGCCATCGGGATTGCAGTGAACAACAATGGTGTCTTGAAAAAAAAAAATGATAATAAATGTTTATAAAAGTGAACATTTTACAATACACAAATAATAGGGTGTAAAAAAAAAAAAAAAAAAAAAAAAAAAAAAAAAAAAAAAAAAAAAAAAAAATGACTGGTGTTCAACTAAATATTTGTATTATTATTTCTTCGATATAAAACACGGTACTCCTTAAATAGCCAGTCGGGACCTCCCTTGTTATGTAATGTTACATCACATAACCTCCCTTCTTATCTCGAGTTTTTATTTTTGTTCCATTAGTGTGATTTTCGTCAAATTATATTACATTGCGGGAATTGCCGTCTTCAGAAGAAGAGGCTATCAAATATTTTCAAGACGCCTGGATAATCGTTTTGTTATTATTATTATGTTTTCTTCTGTTTAATATATATGTTATAAAATAAAAGTATTTAATCAAACTGTTTTGTTATTATTAACTTCTTTTCGCCTATTTAATATATATATAAGAATTATATATACCATCTATTTAAGATACATATTTTTTTATTATTATGTTTGTTTTTGTTTACAATTTCAATAATATGAATATAATACAATAAATATAATACGAAGATAGGAATTATCAGTGTTAAGGTTGAAAACATTGGCAGATAGCAGTCGGACCCGACCGGTTATTTAAGGAGTATCTAAAATACAATTAATACTTAAAGTATAGTCCATTGTTATCTACCGTCATTAGCCATCTGCTAGATCTCACGCTGATACCATTCTTTGGGATGGCTGTCAAAGAACTCTTGGATTGCAATTTAAGCAAAATCATAAAATTTTTTCCCTTGAAGAAAATAGGCCATGGATCTAAATAAGTTTTAATCCGATGGTACAAGGTCTGAACTATATGGTGGATGAGACAGGTGTCTCATACCAGAAGGGTTTTTCAATAAAGTTTCACAAATATCTAACATCTTAGGTAATTGCTGAAGAGTAAGTTCGTGAGGGACCAGTGTACTGCTCTTTTTCACCTTCCCTATGGAGAGTAGATGGCGACTAACAGAATCTTTCGACATAGAACACTCCCTGGCAAGTTCGCGAGTACTCTTGGACAAATTTGACTGAACAGCTTCCTGAAGAACCTCATAAATATCCCTTAATGGTCGCTCGAGGCCCTTCTTCCTTTCCAACATCATATCTTCAATGCTAAATTTTTCAAACCAACGCTGCGCAGTGCGCTGGTCAAGGACACCTTCCCCTTCATATTTAATAATTTAACGAGTTGCTACGGGGTGTGGATTTTTTTTTTCCAATAATGCCTTAAAATTACGAGAATTTCGTAGGACACCATCATGTTTCTTCTTCGAAACAAATAACTAAACTGAGGCCTTTTTGAAGAAATAGAGAAAGCTCTAAAGGAATTATTAAGTATTGGTCAGTATTGAATAGGATTAAAATATTTACAATCCTTCGAAATCTTCAATTTGATAAAACAGTCATTTTTTTTTTTTATATATATACCCTATTAAAATATCTTCATTACAATTTTACAAAAATACAAACAAAGCATCTTTAAGTTATTATGTCAATTACATACTTTCTAACTAATTTTGCTCAATATGATTAATACCTCTAATCAATCATACCTCATAAGAAACTTACATAAGATATAAATGAAAAACTAGATTACAATCCTTAATATATATATATATATATATATATATATATATATATATATATATATATATATATATAAACACAATATATTTATTCATAGTATAGTCCATTTTATTTCTAATCAATAAAAAAATTCCAATTACCTGTCCATGTTTGTATCCTTCTGATGCAGGGTCAATAAAAATTCCACCTTCTTTGATGATATAATGTAATGTTGAAACAACACTACCAGTTTGGTAGTAGTCTAAACGTTCCTAAAATAAACAAGTATTATCCACGGAACAGTAACAGTTTTTTTTATTGCATTACTTTCATTCCTAAAAAAATTTTTAAGACAGGTAGTTATTATAAATTAAAATATAAAATTAATTTGGATTTATGGCTTGACACCTTTTCAAGGTAAAGAAAACGAATTGATGTGTATCACCAATTGGCAAATACTCACGGACGAGATAGTTTTATGAAACAGGATTTATAAGGTTAATCTTTCACTTTAAGCTAATGTTAGGATACTCTATGGGTCGATAAAGTACAGTAGTACTTCTTTAAGAAAAAGTTAAATGAGGAAAACTTAATTCTTTACTTACAACTTTTCTTTAAAAAGAAAATGATAACTGATATCTGAAAAAAGAATCAATGTGGAAGAATATATAATTTACCAATATTATAATAATTAAAAATATATTTTAAGTTATTTACAAAGTTTTTTATTTTATATATATTAATTAAAACTTATTAGTAAAAATAATTTGCACATAAATTCATAATTATCTTAATAAAGTATATACATGAACTTTAGCAACAATTTTTGGAAATATAACAAAATATATATATATATATATATATATATATATATATATATATATATATATATATATATATATATATTATTATTATTATATATATTATTATATATATTATTATATATATTATTTATATGTTATTATATATATATATATATATATATATATATATTTATATATATATATTTACAAAACGTTAAACAAATTACTTAAGCTATTAGTCCTGCTAGCTGGACATTTCTTTTGAATTGCTTGAAGATGTTATTAACATTTGTTTGCACAAGTCTAAAAGTTGTTGACGGAAAAGTTGTTTATCTTGATGGCGTTTATTTCTGTCGTACCTAGCGGCTCTAAGTTCCTCTAAATATTTATCATACCACTCAAGTGGGGGAGATTTCCTTTTCGTTGAAATTTCCTGTGTAGAATTCGAATAATTAATTTTTTCATCGGATCGCTCTTCATGTAGAGCAGGAGAGTGGGCTAATGGAGAAGACGGTTGAGTTGACGAGTCATCATTACTATAAACTAAACAATTTTATTATAAAATCAATCAATATAAATAAAACAAGGATCAATATAAATAATACTCCAGAATAAAAATTTCTGAATAAGAACAATCCTAAAACAAAAATAAGAAGGTAGAAAAAAATAGATGCGGGATTGGTGACAGGTGGCTCTTATGCGAGCACTGTTTAATATAATTGGAACAAGCTTAAGAAACCCAGAAGTCATTACTAACAGCTCACATTACATTAGGATGTCTACCAAAACCTTTTTATGATGGAGTTCCCGCCTTACAATACCTTACAGGTACAAGGCATGTTTCTAAAAATTGGAAGGTTGTCAAAATAGTTTAATAGGATATAAGGCATATACACTGACAGGCGAAAAATTCCACCCACTTGATTTTTTCATGTTTTCATCTAAAAATATTTCTGCTTTGGATTGGTCTATTGTTTTTAATGAATAAATAGGTAATCTTTTTGTTTGTTTTCAATTAGTAATGTTAATATAGAGGACAATAACCCTTAATCCTTAATTCAATGAAATGATTCTAGATTCCAATGTTGTTTACTTTCTATGGAATCAAAATGTTTATTCAGTATCATTAGTTCAGTGCCGTTTCTTGCAGCACATTTATTAGTCTCCGGCTTTTAATTTTTTCAATATTAAGTTTAAAAATGCCTATTAGTGCTGAGGATGTTGCGCATGGTGTGGCACTTATTGATGATGGACGTTCCATTAGATATGCAGCTAATGCCATCAGTGTTCCATATGAAACTTTATGGGACGCCGTCAGTTTCAGGAAACTGGTTCTTACAATAAAAGGCCCGGTTCTGGACGGCCTAAGGTAACAGAACCACGGGATGACCGGTTTTTGACTTAGAGAATTTTATGAAACCGGCACCTTACCGTTGTTCAAGCGATTCATCAGCTCAAAGAAGTTCGAAGTGTGCAAATTTCTGAACGTACCGCTCGGAGAAGATTAAATGAGTATGGATTAATGGCTTTTCGTCCAGTAAGAGGACCAGAGTTGACCAGAACTCACAAAGTAACACGGCTGGCTTTTGCTCGAAAACACAACCATTAGACTATGGACGAATGGAGTGCTGTACTTTTTACAGATGAGTCAAGATTCGCTCTTCAATCTCCAGACAGGTGTGAAAGGGTGTGGAGAAGAAGAAAGGAAAGATATGCAGCCTGTAATTTTTCCCAGAGCCAACCTTTTCAACATGGTTCCTTAATGGTGTGGGCCGGGATTTCAATGGAGCGCCGCACAGAATTGGTTGTTGTTCGTGGAGGGTCTTTGGCGGCCATTCGCTATGTAGATGAGATTTTGGAACCTCATGTGTTGCCTATTCTCAACGAAATCCGCGATCGTTCTATTCTAATGCACGATAATGCACGCCCACATGTCGCCCGCATAGTGCAGATGTTCCTTCAACAGAACAATATTGAGATTTTAGCCTGACCAGCACGTTCTCCAGATTTGAATCCCATTGAGCATTTATGGAATAACCTCGGAAGACGAATAAGAGCGCGTGCAACACTTCCTGATACACTGCAGGACCTTGAAAGGGCTCTTCGGGAGGAATGGGCTATCCTCCAGCAAAGATATGCTAAGAGGCATTTTTAAACTTAATATTGAAAAAATTAAAAACCGGAGACTAAGAAATGTGCTGCAAGAAACAGCACTGAACTAATGATACTGAATAAACATTTTGATTCCATAGAAAGTAAACATTGGAATCTAGAATCATTTCATTGAATTAAGGATTAAGGGTTATTGTCCTCCTTATTAACATTCATAATTAAAAATAAACAAAAAGATTATCTTTATTCATTAAAAACAATAGACCAATCCAAAGCAGAAATATTTTTAGATGAAAACATGAAAAAATCAAGTGGGTGGAATTTTTTGCCTGTCAGTGTATATTAAAACTATATTATCACTAAAAGTCACCAACAAGGGGAGTTTACAGAAGGTGGATCACTTTTTTCAGTGGTACTACATCGAAAAATATTAGACACATGTCTTAACGCTCACTTCAGGACTCCTAGAAGACGAAAAAAAAAAACAAATTTTATATAATTTCAAACAAAATTTATGTTATTTATTTTTGGCTTTCCTTTACTCGGATTTTTAGGTTATTATATAACAATTAGTGTAGAAGAAGAAAAAAATATTTATTACAGTATTAAATGAGTTATAATGTATCATAAATTACAAAAATCAAAAGGCGCTTCCAAAATAGGCCAAGTAAGCTTTTGTTATTAAAAATCAAGTAAGTTTTTCTTTTTTAGTGTTCTTTAAAACTATTAAATACGAATTTTTATAAAAATCTCAAATATTAGTACTTGATTTTCATGGATGATATTTTTTCTGGCCGATAACTATAGCGTTCATAAATTCTCAGAATTTTCTCATAATACTTTAGTACAACTGTTTCCTTTAGCACCATGGGTCTCTAAACTATGGTCCACAAGCCTGCATCTGGCCTACAGGCACCTCTGATGAAAGTTTCTTTGAATACATGGTAAAATTGTAATAACTATTCAAAAAATTTTAAATTTAGTAAATTACTCAAAAACGAGATTACTACAACACTTATTGCATGGATTGTAACTCTTGGAAACCTTATTTCATAACTAAGCATCGTTTATAGAACAAGCTTTTTATTTTCATCACAAACCATGGCCCGTGGTACTTAATGAAGTCTCAATGCGGCCTATGGGACTTAGTCAAATTCTGAATATGGCCCACACGCCATATAGTTTGGAGACTCCTGGTGTAACATATAGAAACCTGAAACCCTAATAGCTTTTATCAGAATTAGAAGTCATCCTGAAGTTACCACAATATTTGTGATTGTTGACAAAATTTCGGAGGGTCCAAAATTTCGGGCAAAAAATTATAATGTTTCGAATGGTATTAAAAAATTTATATTTAAGGGTTTTTTGAGATGTAAAAAACGAATATCAATTTTGTATTGCCCTAAAATAAATACTTTCCCCCAAGACTGTTACATCACTTGTTCCAAATTGTTCCCATACTGTAGCTATCTGCGGTATATATATTTTTTATAAACCAGCCTGGTATCTAAAGTAAAGATTTTTAAAAGTAGAAAGAAATTTGATCCACCTTACAGGTAGAACACACGAGACCATCACAAGGTCTCATGACTTCATTATATTCAAGTTGTGGAGCATTACATATCAGAAAACGGTATTCTGGAGTATTACTGAAATATAAGGACCTTGAATAAGTTCTTGCTGTTTTTTTAGCAGATGGCAGCACCAGTATTAAGTGTCTTTCATTTCAAACGGCAACACGATTTTCCAAGAACTACTGTCTACAAGTTTAGACTTTACTGTATGTTAGTTCGCACAATGTAAACACCTTTTTTTTTTTTTTTTTTTTTGTAGTTCTATAAACATTGAATTTTGTGTCAAATAAAGAATATTGGTAGAGAACTTTATTTATTATACTAAAGAAATCTGCTGATAAAACGCACAGAATTCTTGCTGATTTATGGTGAGCATGCCTTATTGAAAACAGCATGCGGAGACTAGTTTCAGCATTTAAAAAATAATGATTTTAAGCTTGGTGCACCAAAAAAGTTTTGAGATGAAGAATTCATGTGTTTAAGCCAAATCCTTAAGAAAATACTCACTATACAAGGAGAGATGCGACAAGGTGATTTTATTACATGTCAATGCTTGGCCACCTGCTGCAAAACCAGTAAAAATCAACCTGAAAATGGTTAAATGGGAGATCTCTCTTTCGATTATCACTTATTTCGTTCAATGTCAATGGCTAAACACCATTTCCATTATTATAAAGATACAAAAAAATGGATAGATTCTTGGATAGTCTTAATACAGGATTCGTTTTTCCAATGAAGATTCATATGCTCCCACATAAAGGGATGAGATAGCGCACAATAGAT